TGGAAGCTCCGCGCCCCTTCCCTCCTCCTCCTGCTGCGGTACTGCGGTGGCGGCTGCCTTTGGAACTGACGTGTCATGCGGGATGAGTCAAAGAGACTCAACGAATTGCCGGCGGGGGGAGAGAAGCCAAAGAGGGAGAAGAAAAGGAGAAAAGAAAAAAAAAAGGAAAAAAGTCCGTCCGTCCGTCAAACACACAAAAGAAAAAATCGGAAGAAAAAAAAAAAAGAAAAAAAATAATAATAATTTTTTAGTTTTTGCGCCTGTCCGGCCACATTCCGCAAGCAATTCAGAAAAAAAAAAAAAAAAAAAAGAAGAGGAAGGGGAAGAGGAAGAGGGAAAAAAAAGGACACGAAGAAAAAATGCGGGGAGTATGGAAGCGGAAGAAAAAAAAAAAAAGAAAAAAGTTTTAACAAAAACATTTGGATAAAAAATGCAAAGATGAACAACACGCACACGCACACGCACAAAAAAAAAAAAGAAGAAGAGGGAGGGGAGGAAAGGAAGAAAAAAAGACACAAAAGACACACGGAGCACACAAAATGGCCGCAGGAAACTTTAAAAAAAAAAAAAAAGGAAACATGAGGGCACATGCGCATTCCTCCCCAGCCCTTACCCTTTTCACAGCACGGCACGTTCCACCTGGACCCTGTTTTTTCCTCTTCTTTTCCCTCCTTCTTTTTTCCTTTCCGTTATTTCCTACCTTTTGGTTTTTCTGTTTGTTTCCTTGTTTGCATGTATCACCCTATTTTCTTTCTTCAAACCTCTGCTCCCCTTCCCTTTCCCCTTCCATGCCCTACCTTTTTTCCCCCCACCCCCCCTTTTTTTTTTGCCAGGCCTCTTCACATTGCATTCATCCATCCTCTCTTCTTCCACACACACACATACACATATATATATATATATATATAGATTATATATAAAGAGAAGGGGAACGGGAGAGGGAAAAGAGAGAGAGAGAGAGGCCTGTGTGTGTGTGTGCAGAACCCCTACAACCAGCTCCTACTCCAACCACACCAACGCCCCACACAAACAAACACACTGCACAAGGAGACAACAAACAAAAAAAAGGAATCAATAGACACAAAACTGCCGTAAACACCCACCACCTACCCACCCATTCCAGATGAGGAGGCAAAAGCAAAGAAAAGGAGGCAAATCCCAGGACCACAGCGACAGTCACCAGCCCCAGCAGGGCAACGGGATTATTCATTCATCCTCGTCATCGTCGATTCCATTCTTCTTCCATCGCATCATCGCCTCGGTTGAAAACAAACAAAACACGGCATGAATGGTCTAAAAAGCGTCACAAGTTTAAAAAAAAAAACGCAACAAGAATGAAGTGGTAAATAACTACTAAAATGTTCACTGTCATCACCATCGACATTTTAAACACGCATTCGTTTGACACTCTCACTTTTTTTTTGTTTTGCCGCCCCCCCCCCCCCTCTACCGCGCCGTGTGCATCTCACGCGTAGGCCCCTTTTATTTCCTTAAATCGTATCCTTCCACTTCTCACCTCCCCCTCGCGGCTCCGTCGCTCTTCATCCTCTTCTCGCCATCGGCCCTTCAGGGCACCTGAGTTCACGTGTGTGTGTGTGTGTGACTTCAGCGTCATATGTTCCTCGTCGTGCCATTTTCTGGCACTCTCCTCATCTCTTCATTTAGATGTAAGCATAAAAATGTGACGTGCGGACACACAAAACGTGTGTGTCTGCAGGCCCTGTTTGCGTTCATCACCCTCTCTTACTTACTCTCTCTCTCTCTCGCTCTCTCTCTTCGCCCCCACCCCCCTCGTAATTATCATTTCATCATTTTTATTTTTTGCTTTCGTTTATTGTGTTTTCCTTCTTGACTTCTCTCTCCCTTCCTCACTCTCTCCCTCCTCTCCATGTCTGTGTCTGTGTGTCCGCGTCTCTCCCACACACGCACGCATACAGACACGGAATACCTCCCCTCCTTCTTCTCCATCATTCTTTCGTGCCTTCGTTGCATCAAATAACGGCATTTTCCTCCGGTGCGTCGTATGCGTAAAATGCCTTGTTATGCATCACCAATTTATTCTCCACAAAGTAAAAGCTGTCGCTGACAGTCTCGTTCGGATTGTCAATGATGGCGCGGATCCAATCCTCGGAGAGCGCAGGCATGTCATAAATGGCCTCCCACGTGTTGGTGGAGTGCGGAATGCAGAAACCAAACGTGAAGTCAAACGATTTTATAAGTGTATCACGAAAGTAATGTCGCTCAATCATGCGAAAGTTTCGGACGGGGAAGTCGCTGTTGATACCAAAAACGAGTTTGGCGCCAATCGCCCTGCGTCGCAGCATAGACGGGGGGAAATTGTAATAAATGGTGCGCATCGTCCGATGCACCTCCTCCGGTAGCTGCGCGATGGTGGGAATGGACGGGTAATCCTCGGGGTTGCGCTCGACATCAAACATGACTTTGCCTGTCTCCATGTCACGGATGGTGAACCGATAAAACTCAATGTTATACGTGTTGGCGGTAAAGGGGCAGAGAAACTCGCTGGTAGGGGCGCTGAACTGCAGCACCTGCTCCGGCGTGACTTGAATGTTTGCCGCCATGCCACCCGCTGAGCCCTTTTTTGTTTGTTTGACCGTTTTGTTGTTGGTTTCCCCCTCCCCTTCCCCTCACTCACTGACCGCCCACCCGTCCGTCCGCCCGCCCGCGCGTGTGTTTTCAGGAAAAATGTGCCTCGTTGCCCGCACGTAATTTTGGTGGCAATCGCAAAACCCTTTTTTTTTTTTTTCCGTCCCTCGTCCTTCAGTCCACTGCAGCCCTTTTTGTTGTTGTTTATTTGTTTGTTTTCTTTTTTCTCTTCGTTTCTGCTCGTTGCGTGTGAATTTCGTTTTCCCCTTTTCTTTTTCTTTTTTTGACTTTTTTTTTTCCCTTTCCTCTCTTTTATTATTCGTGCTTCCTTTTTCCCCCCTCTGCGACAACGCGTAGGGGCGCAACAGACAAAAAAAAGTTAAAAAAATGAAAAAAAAAAAAATGGATGAGAAGTCCCATTTTCTTTTCCCAGGACTTTATTCAGCTTGCACATCCACATACACACACATCACGTGCTAAAGAAAAAAAAAAAAAAGCTGGGAAAAGTACACGTGTGTGCATGCATGTGTGCGAGGAATAAAGAAAGGGAGGAAAGAGAGAGAGAGAGAGAGAGAGAGAGACCAGCCGTGAATTAAAACAGCGGAGAAAAGACCCCCGTGCGGAACTCCCTCCCTCCTGTTCATCCACAGCAGCTGAGGTAGGGGGAAGGGTAGGGCAGGGTAGGGGGGGTGCGTCATGCACCAACAACGCCCCATGTTTATAATTATTATACATGCATGTATGGCATGCGTATTGGTCATGTATACACACATGCATACATGCATAAATATATACGTGTGTGTATGTTTGTTTTTGTTTTTTTATTCAAATCGATCAGATACTCAACAATAAAAGCAATAATAATAATAATAATAATAAACCTTTTTTTTCTTTTCTTATTGTTGCTTTTTTAATTTCTATGGGTTTCTCTTCAGGCATCAAAAATAAATAAAAAAATAAACACACATGTACATACACAAGGAAAAAAGGGGTAGGAGATAGATACATGTATTTGCATAGCTGCATGTAAGGCAAGAGGCAGCTTGTGTGTGTGTGGTGGGGGGAATGACAGGACGTCAACAGTGTCAATTTCCTCTATTTCCCCCGCTCTATAAAATAACCGCCATCACCGTCGTCATTCGCACAGTTGTTGTAGTCGTTTTCATGGCCGTTAAGATTCAGAATTTGTGCCTCCATCGCCATCTCCTCGCATATCCACTGATGTAGCTCAACGAGCTTCCGTCGTTCTTGCAGCGTACGTCTTTTCACGATACACCTCTCTCGCTCTAGAATCTCCGCCTCGTGCTCCAGTTCCTCGCGTTGACGAAGAAGCTCCCGCTCACGATTCATCCGTTCTGTCTCAAACCGCATCTGCTCCATCATCCACACATACTCCCTTTGCTCCAAGCGTGCATCCTCAACGTCGGCATCATAAAATGGAATCATTGCGGTGCCCAGGCCATCGATGGCGTCCTCCTCAATGATGACATCCACCGGCGATAAAGTCTGCGCCGAAGGAGTCCTCTCTAACGGCGCCACAGCGCATGTACCCGTTGCTGCGCGTGGCCCACCACAGTCATGCTTGTCGCACGGGTAGCGCTGACGCTCACCAGCCCTCTCTCTATCTGCCCTCTGCTGCCTGGGGCGTGGCACTGGCGTGCACTGTGACGCCGTTGTCGCCGACGTGTTTAAACCATGCGAAAATTCAATGCGATCGCTCTGGTTCAAATGCTCCTCGGCGGGATGCGTTTGCCGCCCACCGCGGCGTCTGTCACCCCAGTCGCCACGCCGCGAAGACGGGATCCGACTCGCCTCCCCCGCGGTGTGGAGCTCCAGCACTGCCTTGTTGTGCAGCCCCAGCGACGCCCCGGTGCTTGTGTTTTCGACAGGGACGCCGTTGAACGTGAGCACCTGCTGCTCCGCTGGGATGAGGCAGATGGCCTCGAGGTGCAGCCGCAGCTGCGCACCCGTCAGCTTGCGTATGTTGCCCTCGAAGACAAGATGGTACACCACATCGGCGGCGGGGTTGCGGATGCGCAGCGTGCAGTGTTGCTCACCCGGCGCAGACGACGGAGCGGACCCACGTGATCGCATGACCGGCGCCCCCCTACGCAGCACACACACACAGATAGAGAGAGAGAGAGAGAGAGAGAGAGGTATCCGTGATGAAATAAAAAAGTGTTGTCAACGCCACCACCACCACCACAACAACAACAAGAAAAAAAAAAAAACTCGCAATTTGGACCGGCACAAAGCCCAAAATAAGGAAATAAAAAATAAAAATAAAAAAAACACACGTACAGTTTACAAATCGTAAAAAAAAAAAAAGAAAGTAACAAAAATGGCAATTGAAATATATATATATATATTTTCCTGCATGTACAATCAAACCCCACTCATACTCATTCACACACACGCGCACGCATTGAATAAGTAAAAGTCACACACACAAAAAAAAAAAAAAGAAACCGCATAGACACACATCACAAGAATCCAGCGGTTCGCAACAGAAGCGGCACAAACGGCGATGTGAATTTTGTTTCCTCGTCTCTCCCTCACCACCACCATAGCTTCTCCTTTATTATTATTGTTGCTATTATTATTATATTCTCCCCTCCTTTTGGAGAGAAACAAATTCCCAATTGTGAATGGGGCCGCAGTCATCCTCACCGGCGCCTCCGTCCACACGCCTCTCTCTCTCTCTCTCTCTCCCACCCACCCCTGCGACTTCCCTACACACATGGCTGCTCCCCCCTACCAGCGCGCTCTTTCCATCTTTCCTCCTCGAGCAACCCCTCCCCTCCAAAATAAAAAAAAAGTAGCCGACGTCTTCTGGTGGCCGCTTCTCCCCTATTCCCCCGCAATGAGAGTGAAAGGAGGAAAGACGCATCACAATGGAGGGCATAAGGGTTTGGGCTCCATGCACCCGCAGCGCCACACACACACACACACCCTCCGCAATCTTCAGGGGGATCTATTCAGCTCTCATACGCATCAATCAATCAACCAAATTCAAAAAAATTTCTAATGTAATAATCGTCAGGCCCGTCGTTTCAAAAAGAAAAAAAAGCTGCAGCCTTTCAAAGGGCCCCGCAACCGCCGGACTCCTCCTTCCAACGCGGATGGAAGCAGTAGTCATAATAGCAGTAGTAGTAGGGCAAAGAAAAAAAAAAAAAAAAAGAGCCGCACTGGCGCTGCCCTCCAAAGTGGCACCGTAAGAAGGTTAAAATAAATTTTAAAAAAGACGAGGGACCTCATCTCCAATTTAAGAAGAAGAAAAGACCTGTCTTTTCGTCGTGTTTACAGGTTTAGATTATATCCAGATAGTTTTCGCCCACCCCTTCTCCCTTGTCTTCTTGTCTCTCTCTCTCTCTCTCCCAGTCATTTTGATTCGCGCAACGGCTTTGGCTTCTCACCACGAAAACATCTAATAAAAAACTGCGTCATTGTGTACGAAAAGACAAGGCGAGGTGCCGATGTGAGGAGTTTCGGCAACATGCCCTTGTAAAAGGCCGTCACGCCCTCTCGCCGAAAGGTCTCCGTCATCACGCTCCAACCAGTCACGCGGCCGTCTTCAAATCTCTTGTTTTGAATGCGTGTCTTCACAACATCGATTGGGTTCGTAAACCACACGCCGAGGAAACCACCCACGGTGGAGCTCACCAAATTCTGAACAACCGTCGCATCGCTGTAGTCCTCCAGGTGAAACACGTACTCCTTGGTCCAGGCCACACCCCCAAACAACAGAAAGGAACCAGGGGCGTTTCGCACCGCGGTTGTTCCAATGCCTGCGTACATCCTCATAACCCCCTCTTGACGGAGGATTCGGAAGAAAGAGCGGTTTTTAATGGCCCCTTTATTTGTCTGGTTCAGCACCTTCATCCGGTCAATGGGCAACAGAATCACCTCGAAAACACCTACAAGGCACCCAGCGGTGGCCTCAAGCGCCATTGCGCCGTGATTATTTCTTCTGTGGGTGTGCTGCTTCTGCTGGTGCTGCTGCTTTGATTGTTCCTGCGCATCCCCTAAAAAAATATGCCCAAATCTAGACTCTAAAAAATCCCGCATGTATGATTGACCTGCAAATTTAATGACGCGCTGCAGCACCTTATATAACATGGCGTATGTGCTTCCCGGGTACATGTGCCTCACGCGGTCTAAAGAAGTGATGCGAGCCCCAAGGGGCTTGTCGTGCTCCATGCCCTGCAACACAACCCGCAAAAAACCCGCCACGTGTTCGACAAGGAGGTGGGGTCAAATACAATGTGCTGATGCGACATGAGTCGCTTTCGCCGTGTATCAAAGGGATGAAATATGAGAATCTC